TTGGGAAGCTTCTGCCGGAGTTTCTAATTTCCTGGAACCTATCCTCTACCAGGCTCTGTATTTTATCAAGACTTTCTAAAAGTCCACAACAAAAAGATAAAAGTTGTCATTACTGAATATTATGAACTTTGTTTGTTTCAAATCAAATCCGTATGTCACCAAGCCCTAACAATGTGGAAACTTAGGGCCTATTTGGTATATTAGTTAAAATTTAGCAAATAGTAGGTAATGGGTAGTGGGTGGCAAATAGTGGTAGCAAATAACAGGTGTCGGTTAGCAGATAACGGGTGGTGGATAGAGGAAATCGGGTGGTAGATAGTGGAAAGCGGATTCAATTAATATAACTATTTGGTTATATAATAATTAGCGGTTGTTTAATGTTAAATGACCAATAAGGATATGTTTAAAAATAATTAAGTATATTTTTTTCTTTTTATATTTTTTTATTATTAAAGTTATTAGTTTTATAAAAATAATAATAAGAAAATAAATAAATAAAATAAATTATAATGGTGCAATCACACACTAATTTCTATTTTTAACAAAGAAAAAAACAGATTATTTTTAAATAAAGAACAAAAAAAATTTAATCTTTCGTCTAATTAGCAAATTTAGTTTATTAAGATAATATTTTTTTTATGATAAATTAATGTAAAAATAAAAATATAATAATCACCTAATGTAATTAAAGACAAAAAATGAAATTAAAACTAATTAGATATGTACTAATTAAAATTGTAACAAAAAATTTAAAACTTAATGTCAATAAAATTAAAAAATTCCAATTCGCTAATGGTTTGGTACAAAAAGGTACCTTAGGTAGCTTTTTCAATCTACTAGCAGTTTGGATCCTAACTGCTATTTATTAGTCTCAAACCGCTAAATAAAAAATTTTATCAAACACCCAATTTGTAACAATTTCAAAATAAATAAGTTTATGCAATACCTATCCTTAGCGGTTTGGACAAAATCACTAATTGCTACCCTTAAACCGCTATACCAATCAGGTCCTTAGTTACTAACCTTTTGAGTACACAACTAGATGCATAAGGTTGGCAGAGTAATTTTCTTCATAGAATTTGAGCAGCTCTTGTCTTGTATCCACTCCTTTTGCCTTTGGTCTAACCTCCAAAGTATCCCAATTCCCTACAAGTGAACAAGCAGTCAATGCACTGCTAGAAACTGTATATACTCAGGAGCACATTCATACTTGCTTTTCAATTTTTGTTAGATAATTTTTCTGACAAGTTCTAACGCAATTTATAAAAAAAAAAAAAATCAATGGTAGATTAAAGATAAACATAAATATATACATGGAACTGAACACCAAACATAAGAAAGCATTACAAAAAGGGAAAAAGGAGACATTACTAGTGATACGAATACAGAAGCAAAGCAAAATAAATTACTCTATATATCAATGCTCTGCACAAGAAAAAAGGAGTCACATATACAAGAAAGAATCAAAAGAAATAGGAAAGAGAGAAAGACCAGCTACCCGAAAGAACCCTGTTAATGGTAGTCATAATAATAGTAATAGTAGTAGTAATAGTAAATAGTAATAGTAATAATAATAATAATAATTGATAGTTGTGCAAAATTTGGAGTACCCAACAGCTTTACATGCAAAGGAAAGCCTTAGCAGCAGAAGAATACAGAATTGTTAATGACTGCTTCTCGAGATTCATACGTATCTCTTATCCAATGAGGGGAAATGTAAGTTGAATTAGAGAAAATTCTAACCTGTCCTAAACTTATGATAAGGATGGCCTTCCATACTGATGTGACTTTGAAGCTGTGTAGAAGGAAAAGTTTACATAGAGAAAAAAATTATATTCTTGAGTATCAAAACATGAGCAGCACAGGGTGTAAAGGCGGTACTCTCAAGTTTGTGAAAATGAATTCAAGAAAATTATTCCAAAATCTCAAAGCACTCACAAAATCCAAATTTTTTTAGTACCATGTGCAAGATGCATGCATGTAAATAGAAGTCATCTTTCAAAGTCTAGACTGGATATTAATAATTAATCTGCAAGATACTGGCTATGTTGGCAAAGAAATATTCGATTCCTTACATGCTATCTTTATGCTCTGTGCTGAAAGATATATAAATCAACAAACTAAAACAAGGGAGAGTCTTCCAATCTAAATATAAGATCCAACTCTACTAAAAGAACCAGCAACAAAAAATTTAGGATTTGAAGTTAGCACATTCAAAAGCTTGAAATCTTTGGTTAAAAAAAAATGTTTGAAATCACTCAATTGACAAAACGAGAGTCCAGAACAGTGTAACTACTACCTGGTTCATTCTCCGACCATCAGAAAGTAAGTTCTTCTTGTTCGCTAGGGAGAGAGAGAGAGAGAGAGAGAGAGAGAGAGAGAGAGAGAGAGAGAG